GGAGAGGATGAGATGGTATAAAGGAGTCAGGGATCTTAGGGATGTGGGGAAGATCTTGCATTATTTGGAGCCAACCATGGTTTTTGGAGCCACTCACTGGAAAAACTGCAACCACCTCCTTCAGCATGCGGATCTCCTGGGAGGGAAGGAAAGGGGATGCATCAGAGCAATGTCCCACGGGTGACATCCAGCTGGGCCCCCCCGCCACCCCTGCAGACCCCCGTACCTGGAAGTGAGGGCTGTAGTGACTGTCGGCGTTCACGACCTGCCGCTCTCTCCCATCCCGGGACAGCACTGTCACCACTTTTCGTCCTGCCAGGTGAGTGTGGAGCTGGGAGGCGAAGATGCGGATGCCAGCAGCGGGCAGAGCCTGGGGGAAGGATGGCTTAAGTCTCCAAACCCAGCCCTCTCCCCTCCTGTGCATCCCCTTGCTGCACGCTCAGGACCCCCACACTGGCTCTTTCCCAGGGTTTGGGGGTTGCTGTGCCCTTGGGGCAGTGTGTGAGTGAGCTCCCTGCAGAGGGACGGACTCTGCCCAAGCCAGTTTCTGCGCTGCTGTGCCCCAAGTCCGCAGAAGCAGCTGAACCAGATGCTGCTCGCTGCCTTGTGTTCATTAGCAGCGGCACAAATGACTCCTTTTGGGTAGGCCCTACAAAAACATCCCTGAAACTTCCCTGAGAGCAAGCTGGGCATTTTGAAACCGTCTTTGAGAAAAATCTTGGCAAGCTCCTTGGAAGCAGAGGCCGATTTTCCCATCTCCATGGGGGAAGGCACCGCCGGGGCACAGCCAGCTCGGCAGGAGGTTTTATGGGAACGATACCCTGGGGAGGGGGAGCAGATGGCTCCCCAGGAGAGCTGCTTCAAGGGGGATTCAGCACATCCCAACCAGCTGCTCACTGTTTGTTGTACACAGCAGTTTTTTTAATTTCCAGCACAACCTCATGGAAAGGGGTTCGGGGAGTTTAAAACTGGGAATTGGGAGCATGGTGCCATATCACTGGGACCTGGGAAAGGCTGTATGCAGCTGGGGAGGAGAGGACGGGCACTCACCAGCTGGGTGCATTTGTCGGTGCAGTACCCCGTGAGGATGAAAGCCTCCTCGCCGGGGGGAATGGCCATCACCGGCGTGTAGACCAAGCCCAGCTCCATGATGCCGGCGTCAAAGCGGCGCAGGGTGGCCGTGTAGTAGAGGCGGATCCCCGAGGAGTCGTGGCGACCTGGTGGGCGAGAGGACGAGGCTGCAAGTCACCACGGGAGGAGTGATGGCTGTCGGGACAAGGTCAGAAGTGAAAAATGATGCTGTGCTGCCGTGGGTGTGGGGAGAGATGCTCCAGCCTCTCGCTCGCAGCTTTCTTCGTGTGTGGTTCTTACTGTTTTTAAATCCTAGATACTTTCATGCAAGTCTTTACTGAGTGGCCCTAAATACGTGTCTGGTCACCTAGGGAGGTCACTGTCCTGAGGCTGAATTGCTCCCAAGAGAGGTAAGGAGTGCCTTAAAGCAGAAGGACGGATCATGGAGTGCTTTGGAGAACTCCCTTGGGAATATGGCTCATTGCCATAGCTTTAACTGGTACATCTGAGAAGCTAAGGCCATGCTTGGGGGCCTGGCAGCGGGAGACATGCCTATGGAGCAAGTCCTCCTTGCATTTGGAAAGCTTCTGGTCTCTCTTGCATTTGAGATTGCTCCATTTAACCTCCCCCACAGAGCTGGTGGGAGCTGGAGAAGACCCTGTGCCCATGGTGTGCCGTGATGCTGATGGCAGGGCTGGCAGAGGCAGCAGCCAGCTCTGCTGAGAGGCAGAGCTGAGCCCTGCTGAGATGCAAAGCTGAGCCCTGCTGAGAGGCAAAGCTGAGCCCTGCTGAGATGCAAAGCTGAGCTCTGTCTCTCGTTTGCCACCCAGTTTTGTGAGCAAAGGGAAAGGGCAGGCTCAGGAGGTCAGGAGGGGTTCAGGCTGGCTTTGAACCCCCTGTCTCTGGGCTGAAGCCCACCCAGGGATAAGAATAACAGGGGAGACACTATTGGTTAACACGCAAAAGCAGATAAATGATGAAAGACGTGAGCTCCGTATTTATAGACGTGTTTCTTCTCGAGTTGCCGAATGTGCTATGACTGATCTACAGTACATATGCTCTGGTCTCCTAAAAATATACTCGGGTAGTCAAGAAGCTACTTGTTTTTATGTAAATGAAGAAACTGGGTTGTTTGGAATCCTTTTTTTTTTTTTAAATGTGTCTCCTGACAATGTTATCGAAGCAGGAGTACCAGTGAAACAACATCTAAATTTCCCCCTCCCCAGCCAGGCTGGTGCTGTCTCTCTGGTGACTCTGGCACCGCTGTTGCTCTTGACTCCAAGCTCAGACCCACCACCCTGCAAAGAAACTGGGGAGACATCCTGTGGCAGCCCAGCTAAACAAACCTGTTGCCTCAGACCATTGCCCTGCAGGAGTCATGGGTAGGGGCAGCTTTCTGCCTGGGGGCTGCGGGCTCAGCCAGGATCCCTTCCCTGAGCATCCCTCCCTGCTGCTGGGCATGCACGAGGATGGGGTCCAGCCTGCGGTGAGGATGACTCCACTGAGACCAGAAAAGCAGCAGCATGGTGGGGATTTAATGCGTTCCTCCAGCTAGTGCAGATCTGGAGTGTGAGGTCTCCAGAAAGTTGCAAACAGGGCGATGATTTTGGCCAAGTTTTCTTCTGGCTGAAGCCCTCCCGGGCAGGGTGGCAGTCCCTGGCGCTTACCCAGCTCTGCTGCCACGGCCTCTCTGGCGAGGCACTGGGCATTGCCACATGCTCGCTCACCTTTAAACACCAGTGGGTTGTGGTAATGGATCTCAAGGCGCAAATATCTGGAGGAGCCTGGGCCACCGAAGGCAAGACCTGCTTCCTCAGGGTAGTAGAAAGCCTGGAAGCAGAGGGAGGGTGTTAGGGGAGCAGTGGGGTGGCTTTCCTGGGGACAAGGCTGAAAAGCCCAAGGAAAAAGTCTGGGCGTAATCCTGAATCCTACTGTGGGCTGAGGGACATGACTTGTGCTCTTGGTTGTGCTGGGTGAGCTGGTCGTGCTTGCAAAGGTGTCTTGCGTCCCAGCATGCCCATGCGATGGTGTAACCACTGAGTAGGGGCATCACCCCGATTTACGGCACTGAGGAGGTGGGCTGGGTTGGGGGGGGGGACTCAGACAGTGCTGGACACAAGTCCCAGCAGAGACTGGGGCTGGGGCAGCCCACATGGGACAATGCCAGGGTGGGATCGGGAAGGGTCGGGAGGCAGCAGGAAAGCGCTCAAGACCAAAGGTTTCACCCAGGGTGGAGGGTCCCGTCCCGCACCCACCTGCGCTCCCATGGCCCAGGCTGCAAGCACGTGCCTGCAGTAGTTGAGCTCCTCTGGCTTCGAGTCGCAGGGTCCATTGTAATGGGGGAAGCTGTCAAACTTGGCAGCGCACTGGAAGACTTCCATGTGGTGGACCAGGGCCTCGTTGCCTGCCGTGATGACCGGCTCGTACTGCAAAGCAGGGGCCAGGAAGGAGGACACGTTAACACCGTTTGCTGAGAGCCCATCCCTGGGGGCTGCTGTCCGTGCAGGCTCCGTGAGGAACCCAGGGCAGGTATGTCTGCTCCCCGTTGCTGAACGGGAGATGGTTTCTGCTGCATGATGGGAGGGAAGGTTGCTCTGGGCATGAGGCACCAAGGGCCAAGAGATCTTGGTTGGCTTCGGGACCAACCCAGAGTCCGCCAGAATCCACAGAGAAACATCTCATCCCTTCTTCAGCGATGGATGCACCTGATCTTGGTCTGATTTGTGATGACCAAGTCCTTTGCCAGTTTTGCAGGGCTGAGGTGACCCTGGGGACATTGCTTTGTCCTAAAGAGGGTTGTGGCCACATCATGGTAGCTCTGCCTGCAGTTATTGGGTTTTGTTTCTAGCCAACAGCTGCTCAGGGCACAGGGAGGGGGATTTGGGGTAGAAAGGGTGACTTCAAATGGTCCTGAGGAACAGCTCTGGCTAAAAGCGCCAGCTGCAGCCATGATCTGCAGCAGCGGGAAGGTAGCAGGAGTTACGCACTTTTTACTTACACACAGATGATTCATTTCACACCATCTGTTGCAGAGAAAATCCTCCTTCTGAGTTTTCCTTTGCAATGTCGTCTCTCCCCTGTAAATCACTAAGCACTCATGTGCTTGTGTGTCAGGTTTTCCCTCTCCCCGTCGTGTGGTTTTGACTCTGGGTGTGCCAGGTTATCTGCTGAGCCCCCGCCGTGCCGTAGGGCGATGGTCTCCCAGCAATGGGCGGTCAGACCGGCGTTAAACCTGCCTTTCCCTGGCACTAGGCTGCCTGAAGGTTTCTGCCTCTCCTTTGGGGGAGGTGACCCCAAGCATGTGCAACATGTCTGGGCAATGCACACAAGTTTATGTCTATAACCCTTTTTTTTTTTTTTTTTTTGAGATGCTTAGTCTTTTAGAAGCCAGTTCATACCCTGGCTCGCTCTGTCCTGCTCTCACCAGCCCTGTTCCTTTGTTTCCCATGTTTGTCTATTCCTCATAATCCTGCCCCAGGTCTGTCCTTATGTCTGAGCTCTGCCTTCTGCAGGGGCTCAGCTCTGCTCGGGGGCTGCTCTGCGCCTGCCCTGGTACCTGCTCGATGTGCCAGGTGGAAAGTCACCAACCTGCCACCTCCTGCTGGGAAACTTCGGATTTTGGGTTCTCTAGGAGACATGCGGATGCCACTGGCTGGTGGGATGCCTCTGGGAGATGTTTGGTATCATTTTGGGAAAGATGTATGTCTGAAAGCCTCCTTGTGAAGGGGCAGGGAAGGTGGGCTTTGCAGGACGGCTGGATGTGAACGCGATTGCTGATCTGCACCAGGGAAAGCAACCCGCTTCTGCCTCTTACCATGATAATATGATGTTTGGGGAAGCCGTCGGGGAGCTCTACCATGTAACACCAGTAGGTTGTCACCTGGCTGGGAATGACGATGTCGGGGACAGTTATCTCCCTGGTCTTCATGTCACTGGGCAGTTCAGGGATGGTGATGTTGGGCTTGAGCAGCTGCACCCTCTGCAGTCCCCTGTGGATGGCAGAGATGTTGATGGCTTGGAGGGAACGGACCGGTTTCTCCAGGATCCCGTAGATAAGGTGCACAGTGCCATCCTGAAGCAAGAGCAAAGTATATCAGGTATTTTTTCATGCAGGAATGTGCACTGCATGGACTATTAGCACCACTACTGGTGGCATAAATCCAGGAATGGGCCTTTTGCCCCATCCCCAGGTGGGAAGCCACCCTGACTTCACCAGTAGATCACTTTGCTGTGCTGTCCCTGGAAGACTGTAGATTTCGGGGCATTTCTTTGGCTGACATGATCACAGAGGGTTCCCTACCAGTGGGGAGAGTCTGAAAAATTTTCCCTAGATGGCATCCGTTCTGTAAGTGATCTTTCAGAGCCCCTTGTCCTTCCTGAGCTCTGGGCTGGGACAACCACATCAGTTTGGGGCTCATCCCACCCTGCAGCCTGGCCCCAGCAATGGCCACAGGCAGCAGCCTGGGGAGGAACAGCAGAAACAAAACTTCTCCCTGAAATCTTGCCTTTCTTCCAGCTTCTGTTGCGGGGATACTGCGAGAAGCTCTGCTGAAAGTCTACTGCGAGCAAGG